CGCGTCCCTCCTACCCCTGCCACCCCCTGGCGAGGGCTGCCCAGGCTGACGCGTTACAGCGCGAGCAGCCACAGCCCAGGGTTTGTCCCAGGGCGCAGTGGCTGTTCGCAACGAGCTCATTCCATCCCAGAGATGTTCCTCGTCTCGCCGCACAAGAAACAACCTCCAGCGAGCACTCACTGCCCCTCCAGGATACCAACTCCGAGCAAGTCTCAGCTTTAAGTTCATGGCCTCAGTTTGCAGAATAATTTCACACCAGGTCACGTAATCGCTGCTTTCTGTAGCTGTCACAGATAACTCAGCCTTCAAAAAACACACAAGCTTTACTGATCCGGACTGCCTCTCATAGCAGGTGCTCTGGAAATGAAATGGTGATTATCTATCAATAAAACCCGTGTGGATATGGGGTCTTGTGTCTTCTGTTTGTAGGCGCTGGGCTCTGCCTGCCTTCCACACGAGTTAGCTGAGAGGAAAAAGGTCCCATGTTTTTCAGGGCAGGGAAGCCTGCAGGAGAGCATAAGGTATTAGCCGGTCCCCAAGGGGTTAATGACAACTTGGCAGGTCTCTCCACTTGCAAAAGTGATCAGAGGTAAGTGTGAAGTTTGTGTTCCTTGTGCTCCGTGCAGTTCCTAGAGGAGAGGAGGGAGGCAGTGGCTCTTTCTGCTGAGTCACGGCTGGGCCCATGTTTTTCAGGGCAGGGAAGCCTGCAGGAGAGCATAAGGTATTAGCCGGTCCCCAAGGGGTTAATGACAACTTGGCAGGTCTCTCCACTTGCAAAAGTGATCAGAGGTAAGTGTGAAGTTTGTGTTCCTTGTGCTCCGTGCAGTTCCTAGAGGAGAGGAGGGAGGCAGTGGCTCTTTCTGCTGAGTCACGGCTGCGGCCGCCTGCACCACTGCAACGCCGCAGGTCTTCCCGACTTACACCTCCACGGATCCCCTGGCCTCCGCGGGGTTCAGAGGGGTGACCTGTGCTCCGGGTGCCTGTCGGTGCAAACGAAATGTAAGCTCACTTTGGCTGCAGAGGACCGCAAAATATGCACGCTGTAAATATGTGTTTGGTTTCAGCTTGTGGGGCACGGAGCCAGCTGCGCTCTAATCCCTTCCCGTGCCTGGAGTTGCATGCGGAGTCGGAGCCGCTGGGAAAGTCGCCGCCAGAGGCGGCTCTGTTTGGCTCAGAGCTGGCAAGGGCATGCAGGCTGGAAAGACGACTTGTGTTTTCCCAGCTCCCTGCCCTCCTCTCCAGTGTGAGGCTCCAAAGGCTGGCGAGTCCCTAGGAAACCTGGTCTGGTGGCATGTGTGTGGCAGTGTCCTGGGCTGCAAGTCCGGGGTTTGTATCTGTCTGCGGTTCTCTTCCTTAGGAAGGGACCATCTCGTGGTTTATCAGCAGGCAAAAGCATCTGGAATTATTTCAGAGACATCAACCCTGTCTCTTTGCTAGAAACCATTTTGATTTTTTTTAGGTGAATGTTAATGGCTAGCTTGCAGAACGAATGGTATTGTAATGCAGTTATGGCGCAGAATCTGAGTATTCACTGCAGCTACAGTCATTATGGTTTTGCAAAGGCCGCCCTTAATCTGAATTAAGTGACTGAAATGAAGCAGTTTGTAGATGGATGAGGCCTCAGGGATGTTGGACTTAAAGCTGCTGTAAGCCAGAAATTGTCACATGGATGCAGATCAATTCCCACTCCAGGCATGGCTGGAGAAAAGTCTTAGCTGTTATAGCCCTGGCCTAGGAAACCTTGAGGCAGTTTGGAAACAAACTGCAAAACTCTGCTGCAAGGAAGATGATCCCTGCTTTATGGATGAAGAAACATGGAAGCTAAAAGCCTAACATAAGGTTTCCTTCAGGAGGTGATGCTGAGGTTAAAAGCAAGCATAGTGTCTTGTTTCCAGCTAGCGGCAGTACAGGCCCAGAGGAAAGGGAGGGAAGAAATTCCCCCTTTCCTTTTTCCCCTATAAAGAAGAAGTGGCCAGAACGGCTCCATGCAGTAATCAATGGCTGCTTTAGCTGCCGGCCTGCTGTGCGTACAGGTAAGAAGCCTGTCTCTAGTGCCCCCTGCACTGCTGGCCATGGTGAGAAGCTCTGTTGCTTGCTGTGAGCTCAACCCACTCGGGGCTCAGAGCACTCAGCAGCACTTCAGGATGCTCCAGCAGTTCCCGTAACAGCTCAGTGCTGCAGCAGCAGCCTCCTGCATCCGCAGCGTCCACCTCCGTGGAGCAAGGATCGTGGAGAACGAGGCCTCCTGCGCCTACCTGGGATGCAGTGAGTATCCTGCTGCACGGAGCACCCTTGCTCCAGACAAGAGAGCCTTCTCCCAACTGCCATCCCTTTGTCACATCAATGTTCAGCCCACGCTTGGGCCCTGCAGGGTATTAGCAAGGAGGAGAAACTGGGTGTAGATTGGATTATTTCTTTGCAGTAGCCTTGTGTACCAAGAATATGTCTGAGGTTCTGTTTCTCTGAACACAGAGTGTTAAGCAGTGAGTCTTTGCTCATGGTGCTCTTAGCATCTCTTTATTTCCAAGTCCTGTACATCAGGCTTCAGGGCAGGAAGGTGCTTGGCTGTACAACAGCCGTCCTGGAGGACTCGGCTCTGGGGGACTGACTGCACGGCCGGTCTCGTTTCTGGTACCTCCGTACTGCCTGTAGGAAGAGCTGCTGTTCCAAAATTGGACTCTAGCTGCTTGCACTCCAAGTTCAAAGTCGGCTTGTTCTGTATCGCCTCACAAGGACGGCTCCCCTCGTTGTGCTGCAGTGTTTATTTCACCGTTCCCAAAGCAGCGATCTCTTTTCACAGAACATGTATTCACCTTGGGAAAACTTCTCCAACCAATTCAGAGCACACTGCCAACTTACGGCACTGTTAGGGTAGTTAAAAATGGAAAGAAAGATTCTAATGTCCCCCCTCTTTCCAATGACTTGGTAAGGCCACCTCATGGTTGCATGTTCAGAA